AGGACCCAGAAATAGTAAATATCAAAGATTCACTTTTCAGTGCAACATGACAGAAAAATGACGATTTTGGACGGGGGCAAGGCTCGTTCGTACCTATCATGTATTAAGTCTGGACCATATTTCGTTCTTTATTCGCTTCATATGAAACACACATTTTTTTGGAAATTTTTTATTTTTTGTTAAAAATTGTGTTCGATTTAAAAAACGCACCAGCCAGATAGACCTGCAGATTTGACTAGACCGTATCAATATGATCTGATACAGATTTCATCCAAGAGGCACATTTTGGTGGTATAAAATGTCATACAAGAGTATTACCTTCGGCGGGGAATCATATATTAAATTAATGAAGGGGTGAATCCGTTTAGTTGGACCAAAGTTTAATAATTTTCTAATGTAATATAAATATGGGTCTCCAACAGCCCCCTGCACTTCCAACAAATAAAAAGTACCCAAACATCAAAAAAAAACACAATCATCTGTCTGAATCTAATCATATGGGAATAACTCTTCCCCATTATTTAACATATTTTAAAACAGTAGAGCAACAACAAAAAACAACAACAATCAGAATGACCCTATTTTAGCAACCATTGGTTATTCTTTGCACAAGACATTGTGTCCTTAGACTCGTTATTGAGAGCAAACAATCTCCTTAACGTGCTTATGTTATGCATTTGTGATTTGTGTCAATAATTCTTTTTTTCTTCTTCTCTCTTCTCGAACATTAAATTGTCTTACAAGTTATCTTAGACAATTTTTCGATTTTTTTTTCAGTTCACTCCCTGGATGGAGAATAGAAATGCCAGAGGAAGAAGGCAAAAAAATCTAAACAGGAAGGAAGGAAGAAGTTATTGTTGCTACTGTTGTTGAAAACTGAAACACACACACACACAAAAATTTCGACATTCCAAAACATTGCTAACAATGAGTAAACGGAGAACAAGAAGAAAAAGAAGAGGACCAACGATTGTTATAGTGTCAAGGGAATTGTTAACATCAATTGACATAAGCATCGACATTATACGAAAAATTCTCATGTTGATATTTAAAGTTTTTGTTTTTTTTATTTATTTTTAAATTTTGTTTTACACTCTGCTGCTGGACACACTGGAGTGGATTATTTGAGGATTTTGTTGCAATTGAAAAGAAATAAAAGTGGAGATTTAGTTTTGTTTTCAAAATACATTGCAAGAGCTCTTAAAGTAATACGAAAGAAATATTTGGATCTAAGTGGCAAAATATATGATACTTTTTTTTTAAATAAATATATAAAACATATTAAAAATGACCAACGAAATAGATATGGCGGTTTCCAGTCAAAAAAAAAAAACTTTTTCATTTTCATGAAATATATTCCGTACAAGTTTTCTTATATACCCCTCTAATTGAATGTCTACCTATGTTCACTTGAAACATTTGTTCGTATTTCTAATTTGTTATAACCTGCATTTATTTTTATACTGAAATTGTGGCCAATTTTTAGACTTTTCTTACAAATTATATGAATCATATAAATATTAAAAAGTGGATCTGTCGATTCTTATTCTTTTAATATTATACTTTTTATAGAACGTGGATCCTATATGACCTATTACGATTTTAAAAAGTATTAGGTTTATTTACGAAACACAACGTGCCCTTTCCTCTAAAAAAATTTAGATGCTATTGGGCTAAATTTCCTAACAACAAATATTCATCAACAAATATGGGTCCGTGTTTATGACAAACATGATCATTTCCTTTGATCAAAACTCGTATCTCATTTGTATTCCTTAATGTGAAAATTTCTCTTAAATAATGTGGATCCTACTGGACTTAATTTTTTGAGAATATATTGCCCTTTTCTTTTAATAAAAATGTGAATGTTTTTTTTTTTTGGTACCTGTTTTATACCTTCACCATAGAATGGAGGGTTTATTAAATTTTTCATTCCGTTTGTAACACCTCCATATAAAAATCTTAGGCCACATAAAGTATTCTTGATCAGCATAAAATTATATGTCGATTTAGCGATGTACGTCTGTGGAAATCACTCTAGCTTCCGACCGAAATAATGTAAGTTGATAAAATTTTAACAAAATCTTTCTTAGGTCTACAGGACTATTGATATTTAAAATGGGCTATAAAGGTCCACGTTTTGGTATATGCCCCACATGAAGGTACTTCCCTATTTTCGGTACTTTGATAATTTTAGCGACATTATTCACCGGAATTATTGTAATTTTTGGTATTTGAAGTTCCAAATGAGTACTACGGTCTATGACACAAAATCGCCTATGCAGGCCCAGGTCTTCGTACAGTCCCCACATGGCGGTACCTCCATATATTCAATATTTTGATGATTTTAGCGACATTTTTTTCCGGAATTGTTTCAAATTTGTGAATTTGTATGTGAAGATCATAATTGGTACTACCATCTATGGCCGAAAATTGCCTATGCAGGTCCAGGTCTTCGTATAGTCCCAACTTGACCTTTACCTCCATATATTCCCTATTTTGATGATGTTAGCGACATTATTCACCGGAAGTATTTCAAATTTCGTATTTGAATATCGTAATGGCCTATGAATAAAACATATATAACGGCACCTCCCTATATTCGGTATTTTTATGATTTTAGCAGTCATTTCACCACTTGTTTAATTGCAAATTAAAGAAGCGACTTGGTTGAAACCCGTGTCCCAGTGGCCGAAAAATGGCTTATTTCATTCGGCAAATATTGACAAATGAGCTCGGGTAAAGCCATTTAAATTCCAAAAAGTGAAAGAACTTGCACCGCAACAGAAAGAAAATAGACTCAAAAGAGCTAAAGAGTTGATTCGCTTGGCCGAAAGTTGTGAACTGCCGAATTTGGCTCAGCACCATCGCACTAAGCACGAGCCACCCAAGAATGGTTACAAAATGAGGCTCCTCGCTTCTTTTCCAGCGGATACCAATCCGTTAGACTAGTGTGTCTGGAGTATTTTGGAACGCGAGGTTTGCATTAAAAAATACCATAGTGTCGATCAATTCAAGCAAACGCTTCGCCGGGAATGGGCAAAATACTGCAGAGCAACATTCGGGCAGCCTGTTTAATTGGCCGTTTTAATTGCCTGTTTAATTGGCCAAAGGTAACCAATTCGAACAAATCTAAACTTATTTTAAAATTTGAAGCTATTTCCGTCATTTTTTCCTTTTATTCAATAAAATTTGGAAAAATGTAAAAGTTATGGCGTTTGACTTTGTTGCAGTTTTTTTTATCTCACCCTGTATTGGCAAACTTTGATCCTATATTATATAGGCCTATGTTTACAAATGAACGTCCCTTTTTTCGTAATAAAACTTTAATCTGCTCTTTTTCCAAAACGTACCTTCTTCATGCCTTGAAAACAAGGGATTTTTTTCTAACAAAATGTTGATCCCAGTGGATCTATTTTTTTACGAAAATTTGGCCCTTTTCTCAAGCCAAACGAGGAACTGTGTTTATTCAAAAAGGCAAACCTTTTTTCCTACTAAAACGTGAATCCTATTACAATGATTTTCATAGAATAATTTGACCTATGTTTTTTCCAAATATGGACCCTTTCCCCGAACAGAATGTGGATTCTACTGGAACGATTTTCTTAATAAAATTTGATCCTTTTCTCTTGACAAATCCACAGTAAACCAATTTTCTTACCAAAATGTTAGCATTTTTTACCTTCGAAAAGGGGGTCTGTTGATATTCGACAATTTCAACCTACTATCGTTCCCAAACGAGGACCCCATTCAACCAAACCATCGAAAAATTGCTTTAAATTAAATGGGGCTCCTACTAGCTTATCTCTTAATTAATGTCCTAATGTGTATTTTTCCAAAATGTGGACCAAGTTTAATATCAAATTGCGAAACTATTTTTCTTCCAAAGCAAGGACCTTTTTCAAGCCAAATTGAAAAATATCGAACTTTCTATCGAAAGCTAGAAATAATTGAATACAAAGAAGTGAACCTATTTCATATAAGACAAATATATATTTTCATAGCTAATTTTTGACCTATTTTATCTTCCTTAGTATTGCCGAAGGCTGGTACTTCCTAGGGAAAACTTCCTCTTGATTTATACTAGGCAAATTTCCTGGCGGAAACTTGTAACGCTCTCTTTATAGAAGGCAACTATTCCCAGCAATTTTCTTTTTCATCATTGCCCTTTCTGTCATATTTCAATAATATTTTCGAATAAACATAAATACACAAAAGAATTTGCCAGAAAATTGCCAGTACGAACATTTTTCCGTGTCCATTCCCCTCTCCAGCAAACAAAGAATTGCCACCAGAAAATTTAACTAATATGAATTGTGACTTATTAAAAATATATCGTATATTTGATAGTACTCTATTTTCCAGCAAGAACAATGTAATTCTGATAAGGATAATTACAAGTTTTACCAGGGGCTGGATTCTTGTTCTATGAAAATATGAAAGAAAACTTTTATAAAGAAATGTCAAATAAAAAATTTTACAAAGGAAATATTTTTTATTTTTTATTTTCATAGAACAAGAATCCAGCCACAGGTCTAAAATGTAAAAATTACTAAAAGTGGAAATTTATTTGACCCGTTTTAAACTTCCAAGTTATAATAAAACATAATTCCATTGATATATTGACTACAAAAATAAGGGTTCGAATTTCCTTTTAAAATTTTAAATTATAAAACGTTACAGAACGCACGAAAAAGAGGTCTTCCTTTGGTCCCTCCGACGACTTTACCCTACAACTCAATGCTAATTTAAACAACAACTTATTTTTCCACAAAACAATTTCTTCCAGCCAAAAACACTTGATTAAACCCATTCCATGCCACCCCGAATTCTTCTCCCTCCATATTTTTTCCTGGCAACATAAAGTCTAAATTAAATTCAGCGTTAATTGTTCAATTTAGTTATTTTGTTTTCTTCCTCATTGCTTTCATCTTCTCGCCCCTTTTCGAAATTCCTCTCACAATAAACAAATGAAAATAAAACTAATTGTTTATACTTACATAGTTTTGTGCAAGGTCAGGATGATTTTTCTGTATGCCATCGTCCAATATGGAGACGACAACACCCTTGCCCGTATAACCTTTTTGCCAAGCGGGTCCAATATTCATATCCAAGCCGTCTTTGGCGCCACCATTCTGTTTGTTTAGTTTTGTGCGAAGCGGCGAAGCCAAACATTTTTGCAATAGCGAAAATATATAAAAAATATATATATTTTTGGTGATTGGATTTTGATGTTGTTGGTGATGGTTGGGTTTGGTTGGGATGGTTGTATGTTTGTTTTGTTCATCACAAGGACCAATGTTTGAAGCCAGCACAAATAATTGAGAGTACACACACACACACAGATACAGGCGGAGAGAAATTCCAATAGAGTTCAAATCACAAAATGGTAGCAGTGGCAGCAGCAGTAGTCGTCCAGACACAAACAAATAATTCAACAGCATTGTTGTTTTTGGTGTTGTGTGAGTATAGCCCAGCAAGGATTCGTGTGAAAAGAATGGAGTATCAAAATACCGGCAGCCATAATAACATCGATGTAAAAGTTGTTGATGTGGCAGTAATATTGCCAATGATGTTCATTGTTGTCGTTTTTGTATTCGATTTTATTGCACATTAATAAATTAAATTGAATGTGAATAATGGCAGGCGTACATGTAAAGAGACGGGGGAAAAAAGAGAAAAACGAAAAAACAAATATTAAATGAGTGAGAGACTTATTTAAACATACTTTCATTCATTTATACATATGTATTTGTAATAAAAACTATTTTATCCGTAAAAAATACAATATCCAATTTTTTATGTTTATTTATATATGTGAAATATTTGTTGTAGAGATTCTCTCTGGCCCAATTGGCTACCATAACACAACAAACCATGCGAAAAGAGAGTGCGGGTGTGGGTGCATCGCGGCGAATGGTGGACAATGCTATTGGAATCGCGTATGATTAATTTTAGAGTTTCTTTTTTTTTACTTTAACTTCTTTTAATTTGATGTTCGTTGAAATATTTCGTGGGTTTGTTCTTTACTATTTAATATAATTGCGCATTTTAATAATTTTTTATTTTTCATTATATTTTTTTTTTAATTTCGAATTATTTTTATTTGATTTGGTTGAAATGTTGAAGGAAATATTTAGTTTTTCCAAGTTTGAAAAGAATTGCAGACTTGTTTCGTAAGTAAGTATTGACAATTGCGAGCCTTTGTGGGAGAGATAAAAGAAGGGGTGTGCCGATATCTACAATCTTCCCACAAGGCCTTGCATTATTAAAAATATTGACTTGGGTGAATTTGAAGAGAATCGGTTAAACAATTGAAATATCTGACTCTTCGTGGGGGAGGTACCTGAAGGAGTGGTCCATTTTATCTGTTCTTTATACCAGATGTTGTGTTCATAGAAATATTGGGATGTACCAAGTTTAGAAGGAATCAGATACTCATTTCGCATTTTATAAGCCTCACGGTTATTTTTAACCCGTTGTGAAGCAGGTACCTGACGGAGTGGTCTGTTGTGTCCGTTCTTCATATCAGATTTTGTGTGGGTAGAAATATTGAGATGTGCGAAATTTGAAGATAATCGCAACCTTATTTACATGTTTATAAGTGTTATGATTATTCAAAATGTTGACCCCTTGAGGGGGAGGTAATTGATGGAGTGGGACCATATTGTCCAATTTTGCGCCTGATATAGCACTGATAAAAATATTAGGATTCACACACTTTGCAATTGGACGATCCTTTCTTGTTCTATCAGTTAAATTATTTTCTGTGAAAACTTTGAACTTTTGTGGGGAAGGGGCAGAAGAAGTTTTCCGATATTGTCCATCTCTGAACTTGATCTTAGTTTGATAATAAAATTACGATGTACCAAGTTTGGACCATATCGGATATTTTCTTCGAGAGTTAAGGCGCGCATCAGCCAGACAGACAAACGGATATACACCCCTAGATCGACTCCAAAGGTCCTCAAACAGATTTGGTGCAAAGAGACCTACAGTCTTAAACCGTTATTTCGATGAGTCACGTTTTAGTTATATCCAATAAAATACACCCTCTGCAGCCATACGTCTGAGGGTATAAAATGGTGGGGTTCATTTCCTAATAAAGAAGTGCTGTAATTGGACTCAGGATGTGGATCGATTGTGTAGAAGATTGCAGCAGCAGCATGACTGATTGAGGACCCTAGTTTCAATGAATGGATAAGTAAATTTCCTTAAAGTCTGTTGAAGAACTGAAAATTCGAAGAGAAAGTGAAACGCGCTCGAATTTGAGTATTCTCTATTTTTCTGCACCGCTCGAATAAGAGCAGAGAGAATGCTATGTTCCATTTTTTAAGTAAGATCTTCTCAAGGCCTTTCATAGAGAGTATACCTTTTTAAGACCTTCTTTATATAAAAAAACTTTCGGAATGTCTATCAAGACGTTTTAACGGTGTTCTGATGAGAAAAGACCTTTTTGAGAGGAAACGTTCTTTTCTTTTCAAAAACCGTAAAAATATCTTCTCGTAATTCTAAAGGGAGAAACCTGTTATCAGAATTTCCACTGAGAAAAAAAAAACTTTCGATAAGAGAAAAGATACTACAGGACTTCCAAAGGAAGGGTTGTTTGATAAGCAGAGAGAAAAGCAGATGACCTTATAAAGGAGAGAAGACTTTCTCAATTCTAAAGAGGAAAGCCTGTTAAGAGAATGTCCATAATGAAAAAGTAACCTTCGAAGAGAGAATAAAGACTAAATGTTTCCCAAAGAGAGAGCACCGTTTGAAAGTCAGAGAGAAAACCGTAGAGGAGGATTTTCTCCAAAGAGAAGTATCTTATGTATGCTCCCCAGAGAGAAGAGAGAATACTTACTAAACATCATCCAAAAAGAGATGAGCGGTGGAAAGGTAGACAGCAGACTAAAAGAGCACTTTCGTAGACATAAGACCTTCTCAAGAGAAGACTACCTAAGGATATATAGTAGACATTCAGATGGCCTAAAAATAGATCGAAGAGGAAATATGTCTCCTCTTCGGAAGAAAAAATATTTTCTGGGGAACGAAAACTTTCGTCCAAAACATTTGAACGGAGATGATCTTCTACATGTGTTCTGTAGGAAAGACATTTTTCAATTTTTTTGGGGGAGGGGACCTTTTAAATGTCACTCACGACAGAAGTTCTCCCAACAGTTTCCTGGAAGGGAAGACCTTTTTAAGACGTCTGAAAATAGTGTGCGTGCTGAAAGTGTTCAATGGGTAGAGTTTTTGCTCTCTACAGACAAAAGAGCTTCGGTAGACAAAATTCCAGGACAGAACACAGAGAGGAAAATCTGCATGTTTTATAAACAAAGATTTCCTTTTAATGGTTTTTAGGAGGAGAATCTTCTAAGGTTCCAATTGTGAATGTAAAGCCTATATATCACAAAATAATATATTATATTTTCATAATAATATATTTTTTTAAAATCTGGTTGTGTCGGTTTTTTGCAATGTTTAACATCCGCAATCTGATAATTTGTATTATCCAAAATAATACATTTTTTCAGTTAATTTTTATTTATATAAAAGTTATTTTTTGTCAAAGGTATTTTAAGATATTTTTTATTTATTTATTTTTATTATTTTTTTAGTTTTGATTTACACACAACCCAATTGTGTTTCTTGTAGCCACGATAGCCCTGAAGAATTTCATTGTCCAAATTGCTGAACCTCAACCCGGGTTTCTATGACATTTATATAACTAATTTGTTCTACAAATTGTTTGTAACCTCAATTTTACTTTGTGTTGGTTGTTTCTTGCGTTTCACTTTTTTTTTTTTTTGTAAGTTTTGTCGTTGTTGTTGTGGTTTCTACTTGTTCCGTACATTTCCGTTTCCGTTGGTGGTTGGTGATGTTAGTTAGTGGCATTCAGTTTGCTTTTGGGCGAGAGTTGGCAAACTTGTGTACCATTTTTTTTCTGCTGCTCGGTTGGTTTATTTCATTTTGGTGTTTTCTTTGGCTAATATGTTTTTAATTACTTTTACACTGAAGCCAAATGTAAACTAGGACACAAAGGAGACGACAAACCCACAGCCACAGTCACAGTGACTGCTGTGGCAGAATCCATATTTGGGATAAAAATAAAATTTCATGTATAATTTATTATTTAAAAGATGTCTGCGATGTCTTTATTTAGTTTGTTTTTCTCGCTTGCAAGTCAGTTTCCGGCTTGCATTTAGTTGTGTTTTTTGTTTTTTTTTTTTAGGTTATTTCCGTCATTTCCTTTGGCTGTGTTCTTTGGCTAATTAAGATTTGTTTTCGTCTTTTTTTAAACATTTCAGTGAGTGAGGGTTTATTTTCGCTCCCGTCTCACTGGATGGACACATATAACTGATAAACATGAAAAAACAGCAAAAATGAGAAAAACTGGAACAGAAAAGGATTGACAGACTAAGGGAAGGAATATTTTTTTTTTGTATTTTTTAAATGATTTTTCTTGAGATTTTCTTGTGAATAACTAAGTAAAGTCTCTTGGGTCTGAGTCGGAATATTAAGAGTGAGTCATGATTGGATTATTCTGCTAGAAACTTTGGTGTCAAAAGATGTAATTGACATAATTATGTTAATCAAAAGTGTCATCAGACATCAGCAATTTAATGAAGGCTTATGGACTTAATGTGTCAAGATTTTAATGACCCACGGATGGGCAGGCATAATTACGGAATGACATGGATTTTTCATGGAAATGAAGAAAAATTTCGAAGGGTTCAAAGGCCTTTGAATTGGGGCCGGTATGGCGTGAATTCACTTAGACCATGGGTGAATGAAATTAATGCGCATAGACAGTAATTAGAAATATGAATAGGGTGAGTCTTAATTGCAAGTCGTGAAATATTTTGGCTGAGTGAATTTGAAAGGAATTCTTAAAACTGAGAAAATAAAATATAAATAGCCGAAGGAAGTAAGAGAGTATTAGTCGGTATGACGGCAGTTATATTTACTGAGAACATCGCCGGCTATATACGTGTATATATGTACATAGTAGTATACAAAAATCCCATAAGATCTCGAAAATTTATTTCTAATCATAAGTTGAATAATATCATCATACCCAAGATTTATTAACATAAGTTCCTGAATTGGTATACAAGAAAAATTTTTCCTGGAGTTTTTCAATATG